CTCACGCCTCAGTCTGCAGCCCGGCCCGGGCCCCGCGGGCAGCGAAGGCAGAAGCAGAAGCAGCACCAGGAAGAGACGGAGGGCGGCCATGGCGGGGGGGGTGCGGGGATTGAAGGGGCCCGAGCCGGGGGGGGGCACGGAGCCGCTGGTCCGCCCCAACCGTGCACCGCCGCTTTCCGCCACAGGGAGGCGCCATGCGGGGAGAGCGCTCACCCGGAAGTAAGCGGCGGGCGGAAGAGGGGGTGGCGCGCGGCCAATGGGAGAGGAGGCGGGGTTTAGGGAAGCGGAGCCAATAGGAACGCAGAAGGGCAGACGGTGAGGTGCGGAAAGGCCAATGGGGGCGGAGAGGAGGCGGCGATTAGAGAAGCGGAGCCAATAGAAGGCGAGCTGCGGGCGGAAGGGAAGAGGCCGGAAGAAGAGGCCGGTGGGGAAAGATCCAGAGCGGGGATTGGCCGCTCGCAGCCAATGGCGTGGCGGAGAGGGCGGGGCTCGGCGGAGCGCAGCCAATGGGCGGCGGGGGGCGGGGCTTAGCGGCGCAGCGCGGCCATGGGGCTCCTGACGATCCTGAAGAAGATGCGCGAGCGGGAGAAGGAACTGCGGCTGCTGATGCTGTGAGAGCGGCTTCCGGGAAGGGGCGGGGCCTGGCGAGGGGGCGGGGCTTTGGCGAATCGGCCAATGGCAATCGTGGGGGAAGGGAGGGGCGGGGCCTGTCGGTGTGGGCGGTGCTTTGGGGAAGGAGCCAATGGGGAACCGTGTGGGGAGGGGAAGGGGGCGGGGCCTGTGGGGAGGGGGCGGGGCCTGTGTGGAGGGGGCGGTGGGGCAGGGAAGCGGCCAATGGGGGAGCGCAGGGGAAGGGAGGGGGCGGGGCTTTGGGAAAGGGCCAATGGGGGATCGCGGGGGAAGGGAGGGGGCGGGGTCACATGGGGGCGGGGTCAAGTGGGATGGGGCGTGGCCTGGGCGTGGGGAAGTGGGCGTGGCCGTGCAGTAGGCGGGGTTATTGAAGTGGGCGTGGTCTATTTGGTGGGCGTGGTCAAACGGGGTGGGTGTGGCCAATGGTGGGCGTGGCTCTATGGGGTGGGGTATTATGGGATGGGGAAGGGGGGGTTGGGGATGTGGGGTGAGCGCAGCGCTATGGGGTCGGGGGTTGCTGTAGGTCTGAGTGGCGCTATGGGGTCAGTGGGCGCTATGGGGTCAGTGGGGGCTATGGGGTCAGTGGGCACTATGGGGTCAGTGGGGGCTATGGGGTCAGTGGGGGCTGTGGGGTCAGTGGGTGCTGTGGGGCTAACGGGGTCTTTG